CCCCGCGCACGCCGCCCACCGAGTGGGTGTCCTACGCCCAGCGCAGGGCGCTCTTCCCCTCCATGCAGCTGGACCGCGACTGCCTGTCCGAGCAGCAGCAGCTGCAGCGGCAGCAGCGGGAGGAGGAAGAGGACGACGAAGCCTACTGGCAGGCCGTGAGGACGCTCTACGAGAAGACCCCCAGCAGCACGCGCCCCCGGCCGGTGAGCCCCCCGCCGCCGCCCCGCAGCCCGAGCCCCTTCCAGTCCCCGCGTCCCCAGGGCGTAGGGAAGCCCGCCCCAGCCCCGGCGGCTCCAGCATCCCAGGCCTCCAGGCCGGGGCCCGGCTGGCCGCCCTCGGCCCCGTCCCCGGTCCCGTCCTGTCCGTGTGACCGTCCTCCCGTCGGCGCCCCTCTCTGCAGCCCAAACCCAAGCACGCCATCACCATCGCCGTCTCGTCCCGGGCGCTCTTCAACATGGTGGACGGCAAGAGGATCTACGAGGAAGAGGGGCTGGAAAAGTACATGGAGTATCAGCTCAACAACGAAAACGTCATCCTGACCCCCGGGCCCGCGTTCCGCTTCGTCAAGGTAACACTGCAGCTGTCCTCGGCCCTGCAGGACCCAGGCCGGCTCTCGGGAGCTCGTCCAGTTTCCCCGAGAATTCCTGGCCCACCCTTGCCGTCCTGGCCCCTAACAGCTGACGCAGGCCAGATTGTATTTTCACAGAAGCTTCCAGACTGTTGAGGAGGGGATTGCAGTCCGCAGCCCTAGGTTTGAGATGTTGGGCTTCCCTAAGTGGAGCCTTTCATCACAAGACTAGAAACACAAGCCTTTGTTCCCTTCCTTGGGCCAAGAAGCAACAATGAGTTCACAATCCTGAGCAGTAGAAATAAAACGCCTTATTAAAATAAGATGAAATTCACTTTAGCTGTTCTGGCCCCAAACAGAGCATATTAAAAAAAATCAAGATGCTCTTGACACTTAGAGGCATGATTTTAATAGCAAAGATAAGGTTCTTTGAACTTATACTGAAATGTACAGCACTTATAACTCTGATCCCCTATATAACTTATACAATTATTACACGATGATAACATAGGCATGCAAAAACAAATAACACCTCCACGAATTGTTGGTAGAAAGCACTTATGGGATATGGTAGAAGCATAGGAGGAGCCACAAACCTAGTCTAAAGACCCGTGTTTGAAAAATAGACAAAGTGGGGTTTTTTTGGCAGCACATATACTAAAATTAGAACAATGCAGAGAGGATTAGCACGGCCTCTGTGCAATGGTGACATGCAAATTCATGAAACATTACATCTATTTCACAGTAAAAAATAATTATTAGATGATCAATAAAAGAAGATTTTACAAATTAAAAATACAGAGACAAAGCATAAAAGGGTTAGCCTGATCCTTCTCTACCTATCCACCAGAAATAATTCCATAATACCATAAAATGGTATTAGAGGCTAAAAGTACAGAAATGAATGGCATAGCTCTGCCTTAAAGAAGCCGTAATCTCTCAGTGAAGAGTCTTCAGAGCTTGAATTTGACCCTTATGAGATGCTTTGTCTCTAGCCTCCCAATGCCCACCTTGCCTGCCCTTCTTTACACACATCCGTGTTTGTGACCTGCAGGCACTGCAGCATGTCAATGCTAGACTCCGTGATCTGTACCCTGATGAACAGGACTTATTTGATATTGTACTGATGACTAATAACCATGCCCAAGTGGGAGTGCGGCTTATAAACAGCGTCAATCACTATGGTAAGTAAAATAAATACCATGTGGAAGACCAGCTTGCGGCTCTGGAAGAGAGAAGCCATGTTATTTTGCTAACTCTGGCCTAAGCAATGCAGTGTCTTTGATACTGACACCCCCTTCAGTGTGAGGAATGTTTATTTGCTTATGTCAGAACAAGAGAGGCCATGTTCATTTTTAACTTCAGCACAGAGTTGGGCTCAAAGCTCTGGACTTAACTTGTCAAGTGTGAATTTCAAAGTCTTAATCCCAGGTCCTGCAATATATTTCTGTTTTATGTTTTTCACTTCTGAACTTGACTTCAAGGAGCCGTCAACCCGAAGGCATTCCCTGTGTGATAAAACTTCTTGCTCACCACAGATCCATGTTCAAGGTTTAAAGGTTTTCACCTCTCCTTTTCCACTCCTTACATCTCATTCTCCCCAGCTGCTCTCTCTCTCCACACATCGAACCGTACTCATGCCAGCAAAATTGTCTTTATTCCTTTACGTGGAAAATTTGGTTTGCTCATGTATCTTCACAGCATTTCCACAGCGTGTTGGGGACTTTTGGGGACTTTAAGAGAAAGTCCCTATTTTTCCTATTATGGAATTACCTGATTTCTCATTTAGTGCACCTTTAGCCTATTGTCTAAGTGACATACCCGGTCTTTTGGGTATGTCATGTTCAAATAAGTATTAAATTAGGCAAATTTATAACAATTCAAGATATATTACAAACTATGAACTATATTTCATATTATCTTACTTATAATGCTGGTATCTTACAGAGACATACTTTTTTAAAAAAATGCCTTTTAAAAACACAGCCTTCATAATGTTATGAAGTGAAAAGAGAGAACATATGTAAAAGGTTTAGTATAGATGAGTGGCATATAATAATCACTCAATAAACCACAGTTAATATTTTAAAACACGTAGTCTTATTTGATTTAGTAGGTGATTTAGGTCTATCTATCCCTCACCACACTGAACCCGAGGCTGAAAGCATAAGGAATCATAGTTATTTACTAATTCTACTGATGAACTGATTGAGCACAACCTTCTCATGCAGGCTTGTTCATGGACGAACAACATTTCACTCAGAAGAGTTACTTACTTCCCTTCTCTGGGTACTGAAGGCGATTTGTATCTCTCTCTGCTGTGGTCTCTGTTATATAACAATTAACTTTTTACATGCCTGTCTCCTCAGTGTTCTGTGAGAAAAGAGATGGTGCTTTAATCATTTATGAAGTCCCAGTATCATCAAATAATATCTGGGTCATTAAATTAATATCATTTAAGGATTTTTAGAGTACACTTTTGTACCACTTATCCCTAATGTTGGCTTAAGTGAAAAAGTGAGACTGTTTTGTTACTACCAAAATGGAAACTTCCAACCCTACCTACTTTCTATATAGATGATAACTGACTCGACTCAGTTTTCTGCTTTATATCATGTGCAGTCATCCAGTTTATCATATGTAACCAGTAGGCTAGATAAGTCTTTATGTCTCAGTTTCCTTTTCTGTAACAAGGATAATTATACCTGCCATACAATTGTTGTGAGAGTTACTTGGCATGGTCTATGTGAATGTCAGAGTAAATTGGCATGGTCTATGTGAACATACTTCATAAACTGTAATGCACCAAACATGCCCACTATTATGTGAAACAGCTGAGAATTTTTTAAATATCGGTGCTATGTATATAATTCTAAAACTTCAATTTCTAAGGTAACTTTCATTTGGATTTACAGTGTTTTGTCTTTAGTCTGTGCCGTAACCAAGTCTTTCTTGCCTGATAATAGGCTTACTAATTGACCGCTTCTGTCTGACTGGTGGAAAAAGCCCCATTGGTTATTTGAAGGCATATCTTACCAACCTGTATCTTTCTGCGGATTCTGAAAAAGTACAAGAAGCAATACAAGAAGGTATTAGTCTGATTTTATCCCTCTAGTTAGTAAAGAGGTTTGTACTAATGGTTACTTACATCGGGTTTTTCACATATGATTATGTGGCTTATTTTCTTGTTGGATTTTCTGCTAAAGTTTTTCCACATGTGACAGCCCTTAAGTTTGTCCTCTAGAAAGCTTTGACCTTTTTGGAAGTGGACATCCTCAGTGATTGTCCTACAACCTATTTTACACCTTCCTATCCCTGTAGGCACAGAGGCAGTGAACAGGCAACTGCTCTGAGATATGTGGTTGTGAAGAAGAGTTGAGTCATTAGGTAATAGAGAGGAAGCATAAGGTCTGGGAGGATATGTATGTATATATATACATACATATATATATGGTACAAACTAAAACTCATGTCCCTGAAAAGAGTATTAATTAATCCCCATCGTCTGTCAGGTATCGCCTCTGCAACAATGTTTGATGGAGCCAAAGACATGACTTTCTGTGACACGCAGCTCCGTGTGGCCTTTGATGGGGATGCTGTCCTCTTCTCTGATGAGTCTGAACATATTGCAAAGGAGCACGGGCTGGACAAATTCTGTCAACATGAAACGCTGTTTGAGAATAAGCCTCTTGCTCAGGTAGGTTCATTGAGCTCTAATTCGTTTTGATGTACTTTATTTCTAATTTTTGTTCATCGTGATAGCTTCTTAGATTTTAGGCAAGCCACTCCTCACTGTCTTACCTTTGAAGTTTTCTCCCTTTCTTCGTGTGAATTGCTCACTTTGAAGCATCAGCAGCTACCTTTTTTTTTAACTTTAACATTATTTTATCTATGATTTTGGAAATGCTTCTATGATCTTCCTACGATAATGAGTTCACCTTCTCCAAATTATGATTAAGAGAGGTAACACAGTTTACCAGTAAGCCATTTCTACATAATAGGTTCTCAAAATAGTAAGTTCATTTGTAGTAGGTCAGTTAACATTTGTTGAATCTCTAAGTCCTTGACCTCAAACTCAAGACAGGTGTCGTGTTATTGAGGAAATCTGCCAAACACTGAATCAAATAATAAGCCTCAAGCAAGTGCAAACTACGAACACCTAATCAAACTGAAACTGTGTAGGTTTTTTGAAATCCATCTGTGAACTGAATTGTTAAAATCAAGGCCTGAAATGAATAAATCCTTCAAGTTCTTAACCAAAGGAAATTGGAAACATCAAAATATTCAAACTGAATCTGAACTGATGTATTATTCAGTTTTATTCTATGAATATTCCCAAGGAATTTAATTGTCCTTTTTTTCTCAGTTCTTGAACTTAAGTTAAACTTAAATATTGTTATTTTGCTTACATTTATAAAAGTATGAATAGACTAATTTAAAACTGAAAAGTTTTACTACTTTGACATCTCACAGTACAGCAAGCAGTATATGAACTCTACATGTACATGTGTGTAATTTGTATTCCCTTTCTCAATAGCTCTTTTCAAAGCCTTGATCTAGAATTATAAAGTAGATCAGTATTAACAAAGTTTACTATTGAGAGGAAAATTCTTCACTGTATTTTATATCAGTCTACCTTGCTGAAATTCAGGACCCATTGTATATTCAGAGCCTTTTACCATTATTGAAATGTGGAAGTTCTCCCAAAAAAGAACACTTAAACAAAAACACTTCAAAAAACGAATTACTTCAAGACAATGTTAAAATACCATTTTCTTATTTCAGGTAAATAATCTAAATTTCTTTAAGATTTTGCATTTATCAGTTCTTTTTTCTCTGTTTTACCTTGTTCTTTTTCTTTTCAGCTTTATTGAGGTATACTTAATATACAAAAAGTTGCACATATTTAATTTGTACATTTTGATAAGTTTGAACATATACATACACCAGTGATACCATCTTCCTGGTCCATTCCTGTTGTTACAAATGTTAAGATCTCCTTCCTTTTTAAGGCTGAATAATGTTCCATTCTACCCACATACCACATTTTCTTTCTTCCTTTGTCAGTTGATGTTCAGGTTATTTCCAAATCTTGGCTGTTGTGAATAATGCTGCATAAACATAGGAGTGTAGATATCTCTTCCAGATCATGATTTTATTTCCTTTCGATGTATATATTCAGGAGTAGGATTGCAGGATCATGTGGTAGTTCTATTTTTAATTTTGGGGGAACCTCCATCCTGTTTTCCATAGTGGCTGCACCATTTTATATTCCCACCCACAGTGTACAAGGATTCCAAATTCTCCATGTCCTCATCAACACTTGATATCTTTTTTTTTTTTTTTTGGTAAAAGCTATTCTAACTGGTGTTGTGTAGATATCTCATTGTGGTTTTGATTTGAATTTCTCTGATGATTAGTGATGCTGAGGACCTTTTCACATACCTGTTGGCCATCTGTATGTCATCTGTATGTCTTCTTTAGAGAAATGTCTGTTTAGGTCCTTTGCTCATTTTTTAATCATTTGTTTGTTGTTTTTTTCTGTTTTGCTGTTAAGTTGTAAGAGTTCCTTATATATTTTGGAAATTAACCCCTTATCAGATGTTTGCTTTGCAAATATTTTCTCCCATTTTGTAGGTTACCTCTTCACTCTCTTGATTGTTTCTTTTGCTATGAAAAACCTTTGTTTTACATATTCCTTACTTGTCTATCTTTGCTCTTTAAATCACCTTTTTTCCCCCCATTAAACAACTGAAATTGTGAAGCCCAACCCTGCTTATTGCAGGAATACCAAACAAATTTCTAATAAGCATGCTTGCTTTTATTATGCAGTCCTTCTGTCATTGTAAAAAAAAAAATGCTGTTTTTTTACATAGAAAAAATAGCTTTTCCATAAAGGCCAGAAGCCTTTGCCAGTTGTGTTCCATTGATGAGAAAGAAGTTATGAGGTACAAATTCCTACAAGACATTAAATTTAGTTGGTAGTGAGGGTTGTGGCTTGCTTATGACAGTGTCCCAATTTTCTCAAATAGATGAGGTTTGAAAGTCACCAGCAAAAGGGACAGATGAAGAGGATTAATTTGACAACCCTCAGTGCAGCTTATGAGATTCCAGTGTGGTACAGTGACAAGGAACTGATGTCTCCTTATTTGATCTCTACCTATCTGACCACTTTGGACTAGTGGTTCCCCTGTGTGTGTATGTGTGTATCTGTGTGTCTGTGAGTGTGTGTGTGTGTGTGTGTGTGTGTGTGTGTACACTAATCAGAGTTGTTGAGGTGTAATTTACATATAGTAAAATTACTCATTTTTAGTGGATAGTTCTGAATTTTGACAAACTAATACAATTGTGAAACCACCACCAAAATAAAGAAACTCAACAGTTTCATGAAATTACAAAATTTCCTCATGCCCCTAGTCATCCTAGTCCCCTATCTCAAGGCCCTGTCAACCATTAATTGGATTTCTGTCCCCATAGTTTTGCCTTTTCCAGGTGTAACATAGATGGAATTATACAGGATGCAATCTGACTTCTTTCATTCAGCATAATGCATTTGAGATTTATCTTTGTTTATTGCCAAGTAGTATTCTTTACATAGATATACCACACATTCTTTATCCATTTACCTGCTGAAGGACATTTAAGTCATTTCTAGTCTTTGGCTTTTACAAATAAAGCTGCTTTAAACCTTTGCATACAGGGTTCTGTGAAATGTAAGATTTCATTTCTTCTGGGTAAATACGTAGGTGTGGGACAGCTAGGTCACATAGTAAGTATATATTTAACTTTATAAGACACTATCAAACTATTTCCCAAAGTGACTAGAACATTTTGCATTTCTAACAGCATTGTTATGAGAGATTTTGTTGCTCTGCATCCTTGCTGGCATTTGGTATCGTTTCTTTTTTAAAAAAAATTATTGAAGCTATTCTGGTGGTTGTATTATCAGCTCCTTATGGTTTTGATTTGCATTTCTCTAATGACAAATGATATTAAGCATCTTATCAAGTGCTTTTTACCATCTTATATCTTCTTTGGTGAAATATCTGTTCAAATCTCTTGCTTATTTTTACCAGGTGGTTCGGTTTTCTATTAACGAGCATTGGGAGTTCTTTATATGTTCTGGATACATGTCCTTTATCTGATAAGTGTTTTGCAAATATTTTCTCTCAGTCTGTGCTTGTCCTTTCATTCTCTTAAGTATCTTTCAATGTCTCTCATTGGACAGAAATTTATAATTTTGATGAAGCCAATTATCAATTTATTCTCTTATGAATTTTCTTTTAATGTCATATCTAAGAAATCTTTGAGTCATAGTCGCAAAGATTTTCTCCTATATTTTTGTATACAAATTTATATAGTTTTAGGTTTTATACTTAGGATTATGATCTATTTTGAGTTTGTATTGTACTTATGAAAGGTATTTGTTCATTTTTTCTGATTATAGATTTACTAATTGTTTTAGCACTATTTGTTGAAAAGGCTGACTTTCTCTTCTGTTCTTTTAATATTGGTATCTATCCTTTTACCCATATTCCTGTGTCTTCATTATTGTAGTTTTGTAGTAGGTAGTAAAATCAGGTGGTGTAAAGGTGGTGTAAGTCCTCCAACTTTGTTATTTTCCAAAATTGTTTTTGATAGTCAATTCCCTTGAAATTTCATACAGCTTTAAGAAGCAGCTTGTCTATTTCTGGGGGGAAAAAACCAAAAACAAAAAATAAAAACTCTGCTAGGATTTTGGGGGGCATTGTATTGAATTTATGGCTAAATCTGGGGAAAACAGAGATCTTAACAATATTGAGTCTTTCAGTCTATGGATGTTGTATATCTCTATTTATTTAGGCCATTTTTTATTTCTTTCATTAGTGTTTTGTAGGTTTCAGATATTGTATATCTTGTTAGATTTATACCTAGGCATTTCGTAATTTTTTGTACTATGGTACCACTTAACATCCTTAACGTTGAATTATTTGTTTGCTGCTAATATACAGAAACACAATTGGTTTTTGTATACTGACCTTGTATCTTGCAAATTTGTTAAACGTCCTTGTTAGTCCAGTAACATTTTTGTAGATTATTTGAGATATTCTAAGTAGACAATAATGTTGACTGTGAATAAAGACAGTTTTATTTCTATCTTACCATGCCAAATGTTCTTTATTTTTCTTTCTTGTTTTATTACCTTGCTAGTATATTCAGTACAGTGTTCAGTAATAGTGATAAGAATAGACATCCTTGCCTTGTTCCCTGATCTCAGGGAGATATCATTCAGTTTCAGTCACTCTTAAGTATGATATCCTTAGGATTTTTGCTAAATGCCCTTTGTCAGGTTTAGGGAGTTACCTTCTATTCCTAGTTATTTTAGAGATTTTATAATAAGTGGATGTTGAATTTTGACCAATGCCATTTTAGCATCTATTGAGAAAATCATGTGGTAACAATTCAATTATTTTAATAGCTGTAGAACTACTATGCAATTTTTCTTTTTTTGTTGTTTCTTTTCTCATCCCTTTCTTTTCTGTTTATGTGTTTGTGTCTTTCAAGAAATTTGTCCATTTTATTTAATTCATTGAATTTATGGATATAAACTTTTTTCATATTTTTATTATGCTTTTAATGTCTGTAGGATCTTTAGTTATGTATTCCTACTTTCTTTTCTGACATCAGTAATTTGTGTCTTTTTCTTTTTGTTTTGTC